TCTCACTCACGCTCACAGTCACTCGCTCATTCACTCAGGTGCTGCGTGGTCTGGTGACTGTGCTCTCAGATGTGTGCTTTTAGACTTCTGTAGACCTCTGAAAGTCTAGCTTGTTCTCATGTGTGTGCTCTTGTTTAGATTCTTGTTCCCCAAACGGTGTGGACACACTAGGGGTTCTTACGGTGAGTGAAAAGCAGCTGATGCTTAGATCGCTGAAGCGCGCCGGAAACCCGCAAGCATTTGTGAGGTTCATTCAGGTTCATTGAGTGAGCGTGAGGCTTGAGGGAGGCGCAAGTTATGAGTCAGTGTTATTTACAATGACTGAACATACTTTGTTTAAAATGAACGTACATGTGACTTCGCTGACTCTGCAAATCTAGCCGGGGGACCGTCGCGCAGAGAGATTGTGACTTCGCAAGTATCGCTTGTTACTTCTTTTGAAAAGCGCGGAATGTTAAAGTCTCAGGCTTCCGAAGACCGATTCCTCTGGTTAACTAGTCTAGTTGCGCAAATGATCTTCGGCGGCCGGCGGCCGCTGTGACCCGTTTCCATCTTCTGAGCTACCTTTGCGCACCTGCAAAGACTTTGCAGCCGCTGTGAGGAAATGATTTGCCGGGACGGCGCGGTTTAAACACCAATTCGGTTCAGAACGGATTCACTTATTACCTTTTGGTGGGCGAACCAAACCAAAATGAAAACGTTTCACCACTACGTGGCTAAGAACACGTCTCAAGAACTTAATAAACGTGTTTGTTCCATGTTTGAAGGACGCTCTCTTCGACAACACTCTTGCTTGACACGCTTCTCTTTTCTGGGCACTCTTGCTTGACATGATTTTGTTGGGCGCTCGCACTCTTCAGGACACTCTTGCTGCATCTTGCTTGACACACGTCTGAGTGGTGGTGGAGCAGCGACCAGTGACAATTGCTGCTGCCAGCAGCAAGCCAATTGCCGCGTGCGTCTTCTGTGATATGAACGCCCTTTAGGCCCTTTCATGGCCCATGTAGCTTCTACAGTAAATACAGCGAGCACGCAAGCCCAAGCCCAGCCAGAAACCAAAACACCCAGCCCCACGAAAGCACCCATTGAAGGGAAAGTGGTTTGGCGATCGTCGAGGAGCTCAGATTTCGTGACAGGTGCAGTGAATCGCGACTTTTGGACATGTGGCTCGTTTGCAGATTTCGTGGCAACCACAGCACTCTGTGACCCTCGATGTGCAGATTTCGTGGCAGGCGCAGCACTTTGTGCACCTCGAAGTGCAGATTTCGTGGCAGGTACAGCAGTTTGTGAACCTCGAAGTGCAGATTTCGTTGCAGGTGCAGCGCTTGGTGAACCTCGAAGTGCAGATTTCGTGGCAGGTACAGCGCTAGGTGAACCTCGAAGTGCAGATTTCGTGGCAGGTGCAGCGCTTGGTGAACCTCGAAGTGCAGATTTCGTGGCAGGTACAGCACTTAACCTCGAAGTGCAGATTTCGTGGCAGGCGCAGCGCTTGGTGAACCTCGAAGTACAGGTTTCAGCATTTGGTGAACCTCGAAGTGCAAATTTCGTAGCAGGCACAGCGCATGGTGGTCCTGGAAGTGCAGATTTCGTGGCAGGTGCAACACTTGGTGAACCTCGAGGTGCAGATTTCGTGGCAGGGGCAGCGTTTGGTGAACCTCGAAGTGCAGATTTCGTGGCAGGCGCAGCGCATGGTGGACCTCGAAGTGCAGATTTCGTGGCAGGCACAGCACTTCATGAACCTCGAAGTGCTCACACTCTCACCCACACTCACTCGCACCCACCTTCACTCTCACTCACACTCACACCCACTCACTCTCCCGCCCTCCCACTCTCACTCTCTCTCACTCACACTCGCACTC